GGGTCCAGTGCGGATTGGCGGGTATTAACGACTGCAGATCCAGCCAGGACCAACGGTTTAACATGCCTTCCGAAGCACAGAGAAGTTCGAGACAATAAAATGTTGGTCTCCCATCCTATGACCAGCCATTGCGAAACTTGTTTAACAACCGTGTCGCAGACCGAGCGTGCTTCGCCATCGAGCTCATCGATCTGCGAGTATCACACTAATTAAAGACTTAATAAAAATAGAACAAGCCAGACATGATATTAGTTAGACTCAATCTAAAAAGGCCAAACATGTACAAATCCAGACATTTGGCAGCCCAGCCAACGCAATAATCTCAGAAACTACTGATAAGATTTGAACAATCATTTATATGTTTGATAGTCCATTCATTGAGCAAGCATAAAACACGATATGACTAATAGGAGTGGTGTAGCAAGGAAAAATGTTGCAAAAACGAGAATACCACTGCTGGCAGAAAGTACGTGTGATAAGCATGCAGGAAACAGTGGGATATAAACATATTTTAATAAACAACAAGTGGAGTAAAGAGACCAGACCCAAGAGTGAAGAGTTGAAAATTTGGTGGGCTTAAATAGGAGTGAATCTTTGATAGCTTGCCGTTCGTATTCCTTTTCTAATCTTAATTTTACTAGCACATTATTTCACACAGAACTTTTTTTTCGATATTTTAGAATAGCTTTATTTGTTTTATACTGAGTTAGATATTTCATTTTAGCGTCTCTATTGGTGAGATGAGCATATTTGCGTTAACATCGTTGGCGATGATAGAAAGATTTTTTGGGCGGGTATACATATAATTACCGAAGATATTTTATGATCTCAAGCTTGAGTTGTGTGTATATTATTTATTGTAATAAAAACTGCGAGTAATGTTGTATTAATAATATACTGAGTTGAGTAGCTCGGTGGTGTAGTGGATAAGCGCCGCGGCCCGCGATCGTTGTCGTTAAGCAACTTTCGCAAGGGTCGGTCATGGGATGGTTGACCAAAAAATTATTATTTCGAGCTACTCCGTGCTTCGGAAGGCACGTTAAGCCATTGGTCCCGGCTGCATTTGCAGTCGTTATACCCTCCAATCCGCATTGGGCCAGCGTGGAGGGTCATGGTCCATCCTCCTTAACCATCCATAAGGATGGCCTGAGCCCCTGCAGTGGGGACGTAAGAGGACTGGTGATGATGATGATGATGATGAATAATATTCTCGTATTCATAATGAATGGAGTAGACAACAAGCAAAAACGAACAGTATGGTTAAAACTATCAATTGACGTTCAAAATAAACATGTTATTTAACGTATTAATATAACATACAGATTTAGAATGTTACTTGACAACATATCAGTTCCTCGTGTCACAGCACTACACAATTTAGATTGGTGTAATTGGTTTAAATGTTGTCTCGCTCAGTCGCCTCTGATACGGGCAATCGTGCGCACGCTACGTAACGTATGACAACAAACATTGCGCATTGTTGTTGTTTTTATACTATTTTCGTGTTTTGGAACATTTTTTTGTGCCTATCAAGTTAAATAAAAGGTAAGTTTGACATATGTCTTTCATATTTTAAATAAATAATCTTTTTAACATTTTTCTCTATATTACATAAACAGTTTTTTTTTTCATTTTTTGATAAATATTTTATCGATTTTATGTTACTTAGAATAGAATAGTTTTTATTAAAATCATAGGAAAGTAAAATACACGATATTTTTTACATGATGTAAAATGTCTCTAAAGTTTTTATAGTATTTTGATTGCTTGGCTTTTCCAATTATTTCGTTATAAAAAACTGCTGATCTGATTTCGCTTTTTTAAATGAGACTCCCTAAGCCCATTGAAAATCGGTCTACAATTCGCGGAGAAACCATATCGGATTGAGAATTTGCCTTTTTTGAAGTCTTTTAAAAAGTTGAAGCCCTAAGAAACATAGTGCCTCTGTGAACCATTTCATATCAAGAAATCAAAATATGGAAAATATGTCCTATCTCCACATAAACCAGTACCTTTGCTAATAAGCCCCTGCTACTCCAAAGTGAAGACCTATGTAAGGTATAATGAAATACCTATTGATACCCATCCACGACGTTGCCCAATATCTATACTCCAATCCGAGTAGATTGGATGATTTTGTATAGTAGATTTACTGTACATACAACGAAAAATTACTAAGCTGAAAAGCTTGTTGAAATTTAAAAAAAAAACAGTTATTACTTTAGCAGAAATACGAAGAAAAGGGTTTATTATAATAGAAAAGGATTTACACATATTTTTCTACAAATGCGTAACAAAAGGGTCGCTACGGAATAATATTTTCGATAAGGAAACAATAAAAACAAAATGTAGATAGCTTCATTGGATATATCAGAACGAGTATGAATATCAATTCGAAGAATTTGACCCTAATGCACTAGTTAGCGACGCAAGCGACGAAAGTATGCAAATTTTCTACGATCAAACGTACTGGAATAAAGCAACAAACATGTCATCTTAATTGAACATTTTAATAATAATAATAATATTCTTTATTGCACGCTAGACAGGACATAATACAGAGAAGATAGAAAAAAGAGAAAGATAACAAAGGGTGAACTTATTGCTACGTAGGAATTTCTTCCAGGCAACCCGAGGCAAAGAAATACATGAACTATATAATAAAAAGAGGGGGGTGCAAGATGGAGAAGTAAATAGATAAATCTGTATAATGTAATATAGTAAATAAAATAGATAAAGATAAAAAGTCATAAAACATAAACATATTAACAGTTTTCAAGGAAGAGTGTTTTTACTTTAACAATAAAACAATTTAAGGTTCGAGCCTTAATGTAATTAAATGTATGGTCAATCCATCTTTCAGGTCATAAAATAATGGCCATGGAAAGAGAAATAAAAGATTATTTATAAATAGTATAGCTAAGAAGAATAATTGCAAAATGTGCACTTTGTAAAAAAAATACTTTAATAAAAAAATTACATTATGAAAAAAAAAATACAAATATCTAAATTATTAAACACATTCTCCAGCGATCATCGTCTTGAAAGAAACACATTCTAAATAATAAACGGAAAACGAATTAGAGCTAAATAAATGAAAGGAACGATTATTTTGGAATAAGAAAATAAGAAATACAATATTTAAAATGCTTGAAAAGAGTCTGAACGTGAACTCACGTGAAACATAATGTTTTACGAAAATATTGTTTTGCACTATAAAAATAATAAAATAGGTATTAATTATGCTTATAAATAGAAAAAAAACAGTTGCAGTGCAAAAATAAGAACTAAACAAAGAAAAAAATCGCAACCAAAGCTCTCAACGTAAAATGTGTCTCAGAGTCTGTAGCTGCTTAACGATCTTAGTATAAAAATAGGACTGACATTAAACAAAAAAAAAACAAAAGCTAGAAAAACCACATCTCAAAGTTTATAAAAACCATTATAATACATAATGTAGTATACCTATATATCTACACAAACAGGATATGTTTAAATACCAGACACCTTGAGGAATTTTCCAGTTGTATGATAAAAAATATGTTTATAAAGAACTTCTAGAGCTATTTAATGAATTCAATAAATTAATTAATTAAAACTTAAATATAAACATTTTAAAAAGAAAATCGCGTATTAGTTTGTCTTACATACGCAAGTCAAACATACGAGTATATATATAAATAAGTATATTTCATTTAAAGACAGCAGATAGAAAGCGAAGTACTGAAATAAGAAAGAGAACAAATTTAGTGGACGCTTTAGTTAGCACACTCACACAAATGGAATTTGGGAAAGTCTTATTGGCCGTATGGAAAACAAATATGGACTAAAATACTTATAACTTTAACGGGTCGTGCCGACAAACAAAACAGAGGCAGACTACTAACTAGAAAGGTGTTTGGATGAATCGAATAAAAAAGTGGAAGTTACTAGAAATCTGTAGACCAAAACCCAATACCATCTTTAGGGAAGGAATGTACCCCAGCAGTGTCAAAATTAATAAGCTGGTGATAATGATAATGCTATTATATAAATGTTGATTTTATATGAATTTACATAATATAAAAAAATGACGACTACACCAATATTATAAATACAATCGAACAGAATTTCTAACTTTGTTTTATTGTTAAATTATTTTTTCTACGCGAAGCTACATAATATTTACACAAGCCATGTCGCGATAGTTATTTGCTAGCTAGTTGATAGTTATTTGATAATATTGGACTTCAGGGAGATAGTACCAGTAGATAGGGAAAAGTGTAAGTAGTTAAGATTTTATTGAGATGTGATTAATACATTAAGCCAAATAGTGTGGACCACGAGCTGTTAAGACACTCGGATGTTACGTCCTGTGTCCGAAGAGTCTTGTATATTGAGGAATATATGGGGTCAGTACTCCCAACTCAAAAAGGAACACTCGTTATCCGGACATTTACACGCTTTGCACACTTTTCCTATTTACGAGCATAATATAAACAGTTATTTGATAAGACTATAATGCTACTTCTGAATGGTCCAATCATTCTTTATCACCCATTTATTTGAAATACCTATAGCCGCATTGATAGTATACTGTCAAGCAAACGGAGGGAAAAGAACCATACTATAACTATCAATGTGGTTTTCTTTGCACCATTAATGATGCAAAGGAAAATGATAAGTCTCTTCTGCACCATTGATTATGCAAACGGTAGAACGAGATCAGTCATTATTTTTGACACCTATACCGCGCTTTTATAACTGTAGAAAAATTTAACCATTGTTAATTAAATGTTCTAGTTTACCACAAAAAAAAAACTAGTTACCATGCTTGCTTATGTGACAATATAGAAAACTTCATTTACTACATTGACTCGATCAGGATTCAAACCCGGAACCCCAGAGATGACGACACCTTGAAACCACGGAGATAATGACGACACCTTGAAATAAATACAACAAAAATTGTATAATTTATTATTTTTCAGATTCCCTTTACACCAATGTGAATTACCAGGATGTCAGAGAAATCAGGAGTTCGTTTTGAGGAAGCCGAGAACAGTAAAGGGATCGTGCTCACGACCACAGCTGTAATATGCTCTGTGTTAGCATGTCTTGTGCAGAATTCGAATACGATGCTGGGTATGATCGCACTATTTGCGACTTACATGATGACTGGTGATAGATATCAATGGGTGTACATTTGGAGGAAAACATTTTTAAGAGATATGTTGTAAGTATTTTATGGTTATTCTTAGCAAACTTACATATAAATAAATTAATAGTATATTTTGACCATATTTTTTTACGTATGAGGAAATCCTGGCAACTGGATGAAGTAGAGATATGCATAATTCTGTTAAAAATTCGCACTCTCTCTAATTACAACAGTTTATTGATAGTAGTTTTCTTTTTATTTTAAAGTTTATTAAAACATCTATGAACGATATAACCATGGTGTATTTTGGTAGAAAATTTACGTAATTGCAAAAAAAGTTACAAATTATAACAGGATGTCAAGCTGATGGGTTTTGAAATGAAATTTAAATTATCACAGATCATAATTCAACTTCATTTGTTCATATTTTATAAGCTTTAACTGCATTGCATACTATTTTGTTCGAGTAATTTTCATTACTGCAAAGATTTTTCTACTTACATTCACTAGGACCAATGAAAGGTGAAATCGAACAACTATGTATTACCAACCAAGTACTAGTGTCGTATAAATCGGAAAGAGGTAACATTAATTCGACGCTTGTGGGCTGCGGTTATCTCGGAGGCCAACCGCGGTGTTGCATGTCCACTCATTCATTGTTCCCTGGTATCAAAGTCCACAAATTCCGTTCGTTTGTACTGAAGTGGACTTCGTTCATAAAACAACCATTTCTCGTGTAGAATGAAAAATGAAGTGTTTCATAACAATGCAATAAAAGAAAAACTTTGTTCATAATTATGCATTAATTTTCTTTATTTAGTTGATGAAATGTATGTATTTTATTTACTTATTTTATATTCCATAGTTTAAGACTATAATGTATTTGAAGGCGCCCTTTATGGCCTTAGGCAGGCTACGCAGGGAGGGAGATCGAAATCTCCTTAAAAACGTGGGTGGACTGTAAGGCGCGGTCAAGAAAAATAAATAAATAAATTAGCGGGTTTTCGCGAGGTAAGAGCTGGTGACAAGTACGAAATAAATGGAAAATATAAGGGGAGAGGCACTGCACTTACTTGTGGTCAATATGGCGCAATGGCGGCTCTCGAGCATAAGCGGCGTCTCCTTCCTCAGTATCACGGCGCTGTAGGTGGACTCCAACAGGTGTGACAGGCCTGTTTACCTGGCCTGTCTCCTCCAAAATACTTAAACGCTGTTATGGGCGTAATAAAACGCCTCGGTAACTTCAGTGAAACGTACTGAGAAAATCGTCGGCGTGGCGGTTAAGTTTTATACACTCAAAATAGCACAGAACATCAGCACCTCTTCACTAACACTTCTCACCAGTACAATATGCGGAATTCAAGCGGAATTATATAGTTTTATGACACGGCGAAACACAGAAGAACGATTACAATGCGGACGCGGCGGGCGAATTTCTTCAACTAGCGACTCCTACTGAAGACGCCATAGATGCAGCGGGAATATGTTCTGTCTCGCTCTTTCTCTCTTATTTTTGTGCAGTGCCAAAGAGGGAGGAAGACAGGAAAAGTACTAATGTCAACCAGCGAGAAATACAAAATGGAGATACTTATTGTAAAGCGGCGCGAATAATCAAATTAATTATTAATATTAAAATAAATGTATGTTGGCGTTACCATTTCCCCCGGCCCTTAAAGGGTACCTTTAAAGAAAATTTATTAAGCGAAACTTACGAGGGAAACAGAAAAAAGGGTATTTTAATTTATTGTGTAGGAATAGGACATAAGCGGACCACAGGTCGCACAATTATGCCTTTAGAAGTGCGGACAGAAACGACACGTATGCGGCCGTCCTTAGACGGGTGCGTTTTCTCAATAACGCCCAAAGGCCATGACAAAGGAGGTGCATTATCATTCATTACTACTACCACCGTACCCTTCTGTATCATGTTATTATCAGACGTATTCCATTTTTGACGCGTTTGTAAATTATAGAGATACTCGCATCGCCATCTTTTCCAAAATGATTGGACCATTTTGTCCATAAGCGAATGTCTTTCGAGTAGATTGACAGCGTTTGATTCTATCTCTGCGGCGGGCAGCGAATAAAGCGGTACAGTATGTAAAAAATGTGAAGGAGTTAGCGCGCTAGGCTCTGATGGATCGGCACTGAGAACCGTGAGAGGCCTAGAATTTATTAAGCACTCTATTTGCGTAAGAATGGTAACTAATTCCTCGTAAGAAAGAAGCTGTTGACCTATCGTTTTGAAAAGATGCGTTTTTACAACTTTCACCATCGACTCCCAACAACCTCCGAAGTGTGGTGAAGCGGGTGGAATAAATTTCCACTCTATACGATTTTCGGCTAGCTCCTCCTCCAAACGAGGGCGATATTCTTTGTCAATGAAATTATATAAGTCGCGTAAATATGAATAAGCTCCGCGGAAATTTGCTCCGTTGTCGGAATATAAACAATGTATCGGTCCGCGGCGCGACAGAAAACGTTTTAAAGCGGCTAAAAAACAAGCGGTAGTAAGATCGGTAGCGAATTCGATGTGAATAGCTCGAGTAGTCATACAGGTGAAAATACATAAGTAACCCTTACGACTCTTTGCCCCTCTAGTGCGTATGGGCACGTAATATATAGGGCCAGCGTAATCACAGCCCGTGTGTGAAAAGGCCTTAAGCGGAACATTAACTCTATGTTCGGGAAGGTCACTCATGATCGGCGCATTCTGCGGACGCGGTTTCCATTTGTGACAAACATTACACCTATGGATTATAAATCGGATAGTTCCTCTAGCGGATAATATCCAATATCTGTGACGCAATAAAGACATTACGAGTTCTGGACCTGCATGGAAATATTTTTTATGATAATAATCGATTAGAAGCTCTACTATGCGATCACGTCGCGGTAAAATAGCGGGATGTTTAACATTATAAGTCTCAATCGAACGAGACAATCGGCCACCAACTCGAATTATATCATTTTCAATGAAAGGTTGTAGTTTAACTAAAGCGGGCGAACAACCCTTGCCGTTTTTTAAGTTAGCGAAATCTTTAAAGAAATATTTATTTTGAACTTGACGTAATAAAGCGTTTTCAGCGTATTCGAGGTCGCTTACAGTTATAGATTTTATTCGACGCGGAATCTTATTAAGAAAGCGATATATAAATACGATAACACGAAGTAACTTCGTCCAAGACGACGTACGTTCGGCGAGCGCAAGTAGCGGCGAGTCACATTCTGGAGTTAAAACAACCGGGTAAGAATGATTTTTCTCTTCTGGGATCACTTCTGTGTCCAAAACAGTAATTTTGTTTATAGGCCATTCGGAAGGATCGTTCTTCACCCAAGATGGTCCATGCAACCACAAAGAGTGTGCGATGAGTTGATCGGGAGTTAGGCCCCGTGACAGACAGTCAGCGGGATTTTCAGTACCAGCTACGTGGTAGAAGTGTTTCGCGGGAATGTTTTCGATGATACGAACGACGCGATTGGCGACAAACGTTTGCCAGCGATGCGGGGCGGAATTAATCCAACAAAGAGTTACCTTGGAATCAGTAAATGCGTAAATAGCGGATATATCATAACGTGAGTTATAAGTGTCATATACACGACGAAGAAGCTTTGACAGTGAACAAGTCGTAGTCTAGAGCGAGGGTTCATTGAAAGACTGAAGTTTCGTTTACCATTTATTTTGTGGTAACAGTCAAAAGCCTTATGTTAGAAATCACAAACATATATATAAATCCTCAATAAAATAATCATATCGCGATTCAAAATGGCAGTGCGACATCTGTTATGCAAAATTGGAATTAATGTATCTATGAATATTTATGTATTAATTATCTTTTATTGTTATCTTATATGTAATTCTATTTATTATTTATTATTATTGAATACATTTTTTATCCATTTATATTTTATTTATGTAGGACATGAACATACCGCCCACCAAGGACATACTGCCAAATGTCCTTAAATTAGGGTAATGGAAAACAAACCAATTTATACTACCTACATAATATTAACTGCTGTTTTTAATTTTATTATAAATAATAAATTCCTGATTTAATGTAGAAAAGAACAACAAATATATTATAATACCTAAACGAACTTTAAAACACAAAACAAAAGTACATTCTTTTATGTAACAACAAAAACGATAAAACATCTTATTAACTATAATTTAAGCTAATGGAAGCACACACACTTTCGATACAGGTCTTTTAATTAAGGAGTTCTTAGTGCGAATAGTAACAACTCGCGTTATTGTATCGGGACCGGGATGCTTCTGTTCAATTCTACCTAACAACCATTTACCAGGCAGCAAAAAGTCCTCTTTTAGTAAAACTATACTTGTTAAAGTTGTCACAAAAAAATGATGTAAATAATTTTGCGACCATCGTAGCCGAAATCTTCTATTCTTTATCTGTATTATTGCCACTTCAAACAATATACATAAATTTAACAGGATATCCCATACCAACCATTTTATTATGTCACATTTATTTCCTTTGTTCTTCAACCTTTTTTTAATTTCTACGGTGGATATGTAAGTTCTATAACTGTTCTTTATACATCTCCTATAAACTGCTGGTACATAAACCAACATTGTCGCATCGGACAAACTGTGAAACTGAACCTTCACATCATTAGCTTTTAAATTCAAACAACATGTGATTATGATGTATGCTAACGCTGCGACATTACTACGGTAAGTAAACCATTCTTTCAATAAATTGTTTAATATTGGATGATCCCAGTCGATACCTGCTAACGATAGCTTCTGAGTTATACATTTTGCTAATATAATAGAGAGAGTAAGCCAATCCATCGCATCAGAAATAACTTTTATTTTTGTTACAGGTTCTATAGCTGCCGCAAGTTTGACGGAGTATTGAAAGACGTCAGCGCTAGAATCCAAGGTGAGTTCAAATATTTTAGTTATGGTATCTATTTTAATAATTAACTTTGTATTCGACATTTTTTCCCCTTCTATTATATTATAAATTAGTTCTGCACCATTACTCTTCCATTTTTGTAATTCGAAGCCCCCATTGGCTAATGTACTCTTAATTCCTTTATAA